GGTGGGGACTGGAAAGTGGGGGAGGCCCTGGTGATCACGGCAGATGGTGGGGCCGTCTGATGGTAGAGCAGGGCTAGATTGGAGGCTGAATTCTAGACATCCTGTGCCACCTGGCCAGCCTTGCTGTCAGGTAGCTGAGAACTTCCCCTTGAAGTCAGGATGTCTTCCTGCAACTTAGCCTTGTTGAGCGGCTGTCTTTCTCTGCCAGGTGTCGCCTTTCCTTGATGAGGCCTGTCAGCTGCGAGGGAGCCTGAGCCCTCTGTGATTGCCCTGGCCAGCTGGGTCTTAGCTGCGGTGAAGGGAGTTTGTGTCCCTGTCCCCCCTTGATGGGGGCCCTCTCTGTCTGGGCTCCCGACTGCTCCCCCTTCTGATCTGGGAACCCGGTCACCCGGCCTGTGCAGCTGGTGCATAAAAAGTGCCCATGGCCCTGGGTGGCGTGCGGGGGTGTGGTGTGCTCCGTGCCCCAGGCTGGCTCCTGTCTTGTCCTCACCAGAGTCCTTGCCTCCTGGCTCTGTCTCAGGGTCTGTCCGGTAGCCTGAGTCCCGGGCACTGCAGCCTGTCCCTCGCCTGTCTGGGCAGAGGGCTGGCCTCCCAGCTCGTATAGCACAATGCTGGTACTTCCAAGAGTCCCCATTGCACTGGAGTGCCCCCTGGAGAGTTCTCCTCCTGGATTCTCACTGGCTGGGGACCTGATGCTGGCTGACTTGAGGACTCACCAGGTTTTTTTCTGATGGCAGTGCTAGGATGTGGCCTTAGATGAGGCTGCAGGGGCAGATGGGAGCCTGTCTGTCCCTGTCTCTCCCCACTGCTTGTCCCTTCTGGGCTGGCTCAGCTTTGGGAGTCCCCGCCAGATGCTCTGGCCACCTGGCGGGGGCCGAGCAAGGTGCTGGGCTCTGGCCCTGGTCAGCACAGGAGGTCGATCAGCAGGGCTTTGAGGTCACCTGTGGCTTTCTACCCTCCTGCTGTTCGGTTCTGCCGCCTCTGCCATGCCTGCCCCCTCCCCTGAATACCCCACTTGGCGGAAGGCCCTGGGGGTGGAATGAGAGGTGGCCACCCAGCCTTCCACCACCCTGCTGTTTCCCTATGCATCTATCCCTGCAGCAGGTGGTGGCCAGGCCAAACTGAAGGGCCCATGTTCGGGTGCAGACACTGTGAGCCTCCAGCCCTGGGGAGGGGTCTCTCCAGCCCCCTCCTGCACACAGCTTGGCTCACGGGGTGTCCCCCGTGGCCTTTGGTCCAGTCTGCTTCCTACCAGCACTTTCCTGTGGCTGGAGACAGTGCCGAGAAGAGAGCAGGTGGGGACAGGTGTCCTTCCACCAGTGGGGGGGCTGTGTGGCCTTAGGAGGGAAGTGTCCTCTGGCAGTGGGACCTCTCTCTGCCCACGAGGCCTCCCCGTCACCAGCCCTCTCTGCCTCTGCCCCTTTTCTCCCCAACCCGAGCCTCCCTTGCTCAGGACATTTGGGGTGAGGGGTCTGGAGGGCTAGGGAGGTGTGCCGAGGTGGAGGGATGCCAAGCCTCGGTAGGGCTGCTGATCTGCCCCAGTGGTGGATATCTGCCACGCCCCCCACATAGAGAGCTGGGACTTTGCCCTAACACCCAGGCTGTAGGAGTAAAAACAGCACTGACACTGCAGGGGCCTCAGGGCCCCAACAAGGCCTCCTCCTCCTGTTTCCCATATGCCAGTATTGGGATAGGGCCTCTGAGGAGTTTGGGACCTGCATGGAGCCCTAAAAGCTGACAGAGTCCTTCCCACACTGTCTAAGTCTGAGCTGACCTGCTGCCTGGTGAGGCAGGGAGGGTTTGTGAAGGTCTGGGTTGCTCCGAAGGAGCCCTGGTGGTGCAGTGGTTAAGCGCTCAGCTGCTAACTAAATGGTTGGCGGTTTGTACCCACCAGCCACTCTTTGGGAGAAAGCTATGGCAGTCTGCTTCTGCAAAGATTACAGGCTTAGAAACCCTATGGGGCAGCTCTGCTCTGTCCTATAGGGTCACTGTGAGTTGGAATCGACTCGAAGGCCATGGGTTAGTGGGTGGGTTGCTCCGGGGCAGTGGGAAAGCTGAAGCTGTCAACTGAGTCACCTGGTGGTACTTTGCAAATAGGTACTTTGGAAATAGGGTCTTCGCAGAGGTAATTAGTTAAGGATTAAGGGGTTGCAGGGGCTGCCACAACACAGGTGGCCCTCCTGTTCTGGGGATGTCTGCCCAGCTGACCTCCCGGGTCCCTGCAGGGGGACCCCAGGACTGAGACAGCCTATATTAGATTCCTGGGACATCCATAACAAACTAGTACATATACATACAGTGTGGCTTAAGAGAACAGAAATGTATTCTTTCACAGTTCTGGAGGCAAGAAGGTCCAGATCAAGGTGTTGGCAGGGTTCTCTCTTGGCTTGTGGCTGCATCACTCCAATCTCTGCCTCCATTATGACATCAACTTCTCTGTATGTCTCTCTGTGTCCTTTTCTCTTTTTATAAGGACATGAGTCATTGAATTTAGGGTCCTTATTTTGGTATTTATTTTGTTGTTGGTTGCCATCTAGTTGACTCGACTCATGGCAACCCCATGTGCAAGAGAACAAAATACTGCCCTGTCGGGCGCCATCTTCAGGATCGTTGGTGCGTTTGAGTCCATTGTTGTGGCTGTTGTGTCAATCCATCTCATTGAGGGTTTCTCTCATTTTTGCTGACCCTCTGCTTTACCAAACGTGATAGCCATTTCTAGCTATTGGTGTTTCCTGATGATGTATCCAAACTAAGTGTCATGGGTTGAATTGTGTCCCACCAAAATATCTGCCAACTTGGCAAGGTCATGATTCCCAGTGTTGTATGATTGTCTACCATTTTGTCATCTGATGTGATTTCCCTATGTGTTGTAAACTCTATCACTATGATGTAATAAGATGGATTAGTGGCAGTTATATTGATGAAGTCTACAAGATTAAGTAGTGTCTTAAGCAAATCTCTTTTGAGATATAAAAGAGAGAAGCAGGCAGAGAGACGTGGGAACCTCATACCACCAAGAAAGCAGTGCTGGGAGAAGAGTGCATCCTTTGGACCTGAGGTTCCTGCACTGAGACGCTCCCAGACCAAGTGAAGACTGATGGCATGGACCTTCCTCCAGAGCCGACAGAGAGAGAGGGCCTTTCCCTGGAGATGATGCCCTGAATTTGGACTTGTAGTCTACTAGACTGTGAGAGAATAATTTTTTCTTTGTTAAAGCCATCCACTTGTGTTATCTCTGTTATAGCAGCACTAGATGACTAAGACAGTAAATGAGTCAAAGTCTCCCCACCCTCGTTGATTTGTTTGTCCTTCTGGCAGTCCACGGTGTATTCAACATTTTTCAGCAACACCACAGGTCCAGTGCATCAATTCTTCTGTCTTCCTTTTTCATTGTCCAGCTTTTCCATGCATATGAAGTGATTGAAAAGACCATGGCTTGGGTCAGGCACACCTTAGTCATCAAAGTGACATCTTTGCTTTTTAAAATTTTAAAGAGATCTTTTGCAGCAGATTTGCCCAATGCAATAAATATGTCATTTGATTTCTTGACTGCTGCTTCCGGAATATTGATTGTTGATCCAAGTAGAGTGAAATTGTTGACAACTTCAGTTTTTTCTCCATTTATCATGATGTTGTGTATCAGTCCAGCTGTGAGGATTTTTGTTTTCTATTTTAGTATTTCACTTTCTATTTAGTATAGATTGAAGTTGTCAAGGATTTCATTTTACTCGGCTCCACAATCAACATTCATGGAAGCAGCAGTCAAGAAATCAAGTGATGCATTGCATTGGGCAAATCTGCTGCAAAATACCTCTTTAAAGTGTTGAAAAGCGAAGATGTCACCTTGAAGACTAACGTACACCTGACCCAAGCCATGGTGTTTTCAATTGCATCATATGTATGCGAAAGCTGGACAGTAAATAAGGAAGACTGAAGAAGAATTGACGCCTTTGAATTACGGTGTTGGCGAAGAATATTGAATAATACCATGGACTGCTAAAAGAACAAACAAATCTGTCTGGGAAGAAGTACAGCCAGAATGCTCCTTAGAAGCAAGAATGGTGAGACTTTGTCTCATATACTGGAAGAGGACATCATGCTTGGTAAATAGAGGGTCAGCAAAAAAGAGGAAGACCCTCAAAGAAATGGATTGACACAGTGGCTGCAACAGTGGACTCAAGCATAACAACGATTGTGAGATGGTGCATGACCGGGCAGTGTTTCGGTCACTATGAGTCAGAACCGACTTGATGACACCTAACAACAATTTTAGTATTTAGTATGGATAAATCTAGTAATTAAGGTTTAGTATGACCTCATCTTGATCCTTAACTAATTACCTCTGCGAAGACCCTATTTCCAAATAAGATAACATTCTGTGGTTCCAGGTGGTCCCTGAGTTTTGGGGGGTCACTACCCAACCCACCACATGGCCACCCCACCCTCTCTTAGGATTTCCCTGTGGCCTAGGTTGGGCATCTCATGGGTTATCAGGTTCTCTTTTGGGTTCATGGACCCCAGAGGAGCAGCTGGCACTACCCAGAGAGCATTTTCTAGATGTGAACTTAAGAAAACAGCATGCACCCCAAGTTCAGTCTTGAAAGGTGCTGGAAGCTGGGCTTTCACACACCTGGGTGTGCTCCAGCATGCAGCTCCCCCTTTCTGGGTCCCCGAGATCAGGGCTGAGCCTGCCCGAGCAGGCCAGGCCAGGGTGGGAGGACGGGGCATCTCGGGGCTGGGCCACCTGCCTCTTCTCCCGAGCTGGCTCCAGAGGGTGTGGGCAAGGCCCCCAGGAGCATGGCAGGCGTGGCCTGCAGAGGAAGGTCTTGGTCTGGGGACACATGGGCTGCAGCGATGTGCTCCATGAGGTGGCTGGGCCCGGATTCCTGGGATGACCCCCTGCATGGTGGGCTTGGCTTCCCTCAGGCTGGCATGGATCAGGTGGGTATGCAGCTCAGGGTGGGTAATGGCTGTTAATCCTCTGCTGTGTTCCCACCCAGATGTGGACGAGTGCCAGGTGCACAACGGTGGCTGCCAGCACAGGTGTGTGAATACCCCAGGCTCCTACCTCTGTGAGTGCAGGCCCGGCTTCCGGCTCCACACCGATGGCAGGACCTGCCTGGGTAAGCATGCCTGCCTGCCTGCCCAACCCCTCTGCTCAGGGGACTGAGGGCCCTCCTCCACCCTGGCTTCCTGGCCTCAGGTATGCCCACATCCGGGGAGGGCCAGGGCCTGGCATTGCTTGTGGGGGGGCTTGTCTGGGCTCTCGTGGGGGTTGGGTTGGCTCAGATGGGCAGCTGTTATATTGTAAGAGCTCCTTCTGCTGATTTTGGGGTCCCCTGGGGCCTCCTGCCCTACCTGGTGCCGTTGTCAGCCCATAGACAGGTGAGAAAGCTGAGCCTCAGGCAGGTGAGAGAACATTCTACAAGGCGACTACCTTCCACCAATGCCCACTCCCTAGGCTAAGATGCCAAGTGCATCAATCCGTCTGGGCCTCTGACTTGGGGAGGAGCCTGGACCAACGTACCACTGAGGCCCCTTATGCCTCAGTGGCAGTCGGCAGCCCAGGCCTGGCTATGCACCCCCAGGACTCGGGGGAGGTGGCCCTGCTAGGTGGGGGTGAGGCTGGCGAGGAGGTAGGGCAAGGCCACTCCAGGCCTGCAGAAATGGGCTCCCCAGGCCCCCGTCCCCCACCTCAGCCTTGGGGAATCTGAGGGGGTGCAGCAGGTGGTTGAAAAAAACCAAACCAAACCCGTTGCCGTTGAGTTAATTCTAACTCATCCTGACCCTATAGGATAGAGTAGAACTGTCCAATAGGGTTTCCGAGGCTGTAATCTTCACAGAAGCAGACCGCCACATCTTTATCCCACGGAATGGCTGGTGGTTTGAACCACCAACCTTTCGATTAGCAGCCGAGCACTTAACCGCTGTGCCACCAGGGCTCCTTGGCAGGTAGTTAGGAGGGGATCAAGAAGCAGGTTCTGACCCTGCAGTTTCTCTCTGCCACAGGGAGTGGGCTCGATGGAGTCACCCAGGGTCCCAGGCTGTGGCCCTGTGGGCTGGAAGGGTTAAAGGGAGAGGGGGAGAGGCCAAGGCTGCTCAGGATGAGGACTGACGATGGGAGGGCAGCAGCTCTCATGGAGGGGGCTGGAGACAGTCCCTCCCTGCCCCTGGCCACCCTCCTGACTGGATCTGGACACAGGTGTGGGCGTCTGTCTAGGGGCCATGTGGAGGTCATTATCTGGGGGCAGAGCTGGGTCTTGCCCCTGGCTAGCGGATGTTGGGTGGAGCTCTGTCCAGGAGCCTGCTCTCTCCCCATCTTCCTCTCCCTGGCTGCGGGGGCGCTCCTTCTTTCTACCCCAGACCCAGAGCAGAGAACCGGCTCTGAGGCACCCCCAGACAGTTTGCTGCCGTGTGGCAGGGCGGCTGGCCAGCCCTGGGGGGCTGTTGCCCCACTCACATGTCCCTACACTGCGTGAGGAGCAGACGGCTGCCCCATGAAGCCTCTCTGGTGGAAAGTGGAAACAGATGCAACAGTGCTGAGTTTCCTTCAAGACCGAAAGTCATCTGCAGCCGCCAGCCTGCTGCCCTGGGGCGGGAAGGGGTGTGGGGGCACCTTCACCTCGGCACATCTGGTCTCCGGGGGAGGTGGTTCCGGGCCCTGGGGGAGGAGCAGGGCAGGTTCTCGTTGGAGACGGGAGGCCCTGGGGGCTGGAGGTACCCTCATCCACACTCACCCCAGCTGTAGGGCATGGTCTGGAGGACACATCACCCTCGTCTCTGTCCTCTCCAATGTCCTGATGATGGCTGTCACAGAGACTCCCGACAGGGAGAAAAACCTGGTTGGTGATGAGTGAATGCCATGGGGGGGGTACCTTTTGGGGCTTTGCAGTGACCAGCAGTGGCTGCTGAAAGTGGCCTTGAACTGCTGGCTTCTAGAAGCCCAGGAAGGGTACCCCTCCAGCCCTGCCACCATCTCATCCTTCTGCTCTGCTGAAGCCACCTCCCTGTGCTTTCAGGGCCCTGACATATTGACGGTGGCATTTGCTTATTTTAAAGGGTCATTTGAGAGTCTAACACCAGAGTCCCGGGCACAGCCCAGGAATTCAGGCTGCTCAGGCCCTACTCTGCCCCCCTGTGGCATCCAAGGCCCCCCCTAATGCTTGGTACCCGTTCTCAGAATGGGTGTGCTTCCAGGAGCTCTGGGCACTCGGGACACCTTGGTGCTGGTGCCACCTCCAGGCTGCTTTCATTGGAGGGGCAAGTGGGCTCACCTATGCCTCTCGCTGATGCTGGGCTGCCTTCTTCTATGTAAGTGTGTGAGTGTCTGGGGCTGCCACGACAAAGTACCACATACTAGACAGATGGATGAATGGATGGATGGATGGGTGGGTGGCTGGGTGGGTGGGTGGATGGATGGATGGATGGATGGATGGATGGATGGATGGATGGATGGATGGATGGATGGATGGATGGATGGATGGATGGATGGAT